AAAGATGAATGGATCACATTACGGACTGTTCACAGTCCCCTATTTTTCTGTAAGATTGTCAAGACTGAGTGCTTTAGCTCAGAAACCATCTTGGATGAGTGTCAAAACTACTTAGGGGGTGGGGGTGGTTTGGCAGGAAGTGACACTCATCCAAGATGGCTGCCGGTAACTGAAAAGTGCTCAATCCCGACGATCTTACAGAAAAATAATATTTGCTGAAAATATTATTCTATTCTCTTCCGTTGCTTATTACCCAAAGTGCATAGCAACCTCCAGCTATATATTCAGTGCTAAAATTATTAAGTCCAGTCTGATAGTCCAAGACAAGTAGATTTTCTTGCTTGGCAAGTAATTTTTAAAGCTTGCTTGCCCAGTGGGCAAGGGTACAGGCAGCAAGTCATCCTCTAACTAAATCAGTAACTAGGACAAACAAGAAGTAGTCCAGGCAACTCAATTTTTCCTTTATCGGGGGAAAGGTGCGGCTACACGTAGGCCAGCAACATGTAAGAACACTTGCTCAAAGGATAAGCTGGAATTCAAGTTTTTTTTGAGCCCTAATATTGTGTCTTGTTTTCTGATATATTTATTAAAATACTGTAATACATATGCCAGGGTAATGATATTTTAAAATACAGCACATTATTTTGTTTCTTAAAGGAACTGGGTCACAGCTGGCTGCATCCTTTTTCACTATGCAACTTGAGAAATTACTTGTAAATGAAAAAAAAACCACAGCTTCATGTCATACTAACATGTCTCCCAAGCATTGTATCAACATTACAAGCCACAAAAGTGAACTTTGAAAAACTGTTTTGATTCAATCTTCTTCAAGTTTGTCCATGCATGTCTCTTTTTGTATTTGGCGGTGTTATTTATAACTTCTTTTAACTTTTTGAGCAGTTATTTCTATGTTTCATTCAACTTGAATTTTTATCAAATTTTGTGACACTGCAGCTACCTTTGGGGTAACTGCTCCTTGCAGGGTTGAAAAACAATCAACTTTATACAATACTTTGGGAGATCTGTACTTTTTGGAGGGTCATTACTTTTGTTACCATGTGGTAATGACTGAAGGGTACGTGGGGTAGGAGGTAAATCAGCCATACAGCAAATTATGCTTTAATAAAAAGTACTTCTTGAATCCTGTAATTCTGACCCTAAATTTCGTGCAATACTGTAATCCCGATGGTTATTTTTGGCATCCCACCTCTTGTACATAGTTTCATTCCTGAATTCCGAACTTCAAAATAATACGGGAAATCCTGTATCCCGAAAAAGCTTTTGGCGATCCTCACAATATGGGGCAGTGGAGCAGGGACAATCATAGTGTCACTGTTCCTGATTAGGAAAAGTGTGAACCTATAAAATTGTTATATCAGAAAGCTATTGTTGTAAAGAAAAAAACCCATCATACAGGCAGCAATACTGTGAAGAAGATCATCCCAGTTAATGTAGTTATAGACACACCTTTTGCAGTTACAAAAAGAAAGCCTGAAAGCCTGGCTTGTATGGCTTGTCAGGGATTTGAACTTTTGTCCTCTGTGATACTGGTTCAGCATTCTACTGACTGAGCCAAGCACGACAGCTTCAAATTTGCCAATCCCCAGAAGACTCTAATACAGTCAACTCTCAATACTAACTCTAACCAAACTCAATTTCCTCCGAATTTCCTTCATACATTTACTATAATTTTACCCTCGGTAACTCAAACCCAAATAACTCAAACTACTGCGTAACTCGAAGTAATTTTTGTTTTCCTTCCAATAATTTTATATAATTTTACTCTTGATAACTCCAACATGTTTTAGACACCTGGCGAACCAGTTCAAATAAAGTGTCCACCCCTGTATATTAATCAAGCTTTGATGTTTAACGCCTTTTTCAAGATATCAATATATGGTATCTCTTGCTGCCCTTGAAGGGAACTGTGCATGCTACTTGCATTGTATTCCTTCCTCATTCCCAAGGTTTTCCTTACTTTCGCTTGAACTGCCAATAACTTGAACGTTTTACGATTTCCCTTGAAAGTTGGAGTTGTCAGGAGACGACTATAATACCATAAAATTCCAAAAATGATCCCCTCCATGTATAAGCCCTCTAAACATGAGCCCCCCCAAAACTCATAGCACAAAAAACCCGCCATTAAATCACCTCTCCAAATGTACTTGGAAATTGCCCTCAAATACATAGTAAAACAAAGCAAAAATGGTAAATTTCCTTCCAACTATAAGGCTAGCCCAATCGAATTTCCCTCCGGAGATAAGCCCCTCCGAATATAAGCCCCTCCAAAACTAAGCCCCTCAACAAGGGCCTTTGAAAAATATAAGCCCCGGGGCTTATTTTCGGAATTTTTCGGTATTATCATAAAATCCCCCCACCCACATCCGCCTGGGAAGGCATAGTGTCAAATGCCCGGGATACACCCGAGGAGGAGATGATGAACTTCTCCCCCATCCAGATGTCCCCTTCCCTCCTTAAAGAAAAAGAAAGAAAAAGGCGACCAGCGATTATACATCCATGAGAATGTAACTTATGACCAAATTTGAAAACCGTTCTTGAATGGGACAAAAACATGAATTCGAAGGCGTGACTGGCGCGATGACTACACGCAGCTAGACGACAAAACAGGACAACACGATCATGCTATTAAACCAGACCTATTTGTAGAGAAAAATCTCACCTAAACAAAATTCCAGGTTGAGGGAAGTCTGGAAAAGGTCTAATAAGCGATTTCACGTATTCTAAAGCCTTCTCTTGATCGCTGAAATTGCCGGATTCAGCCATTTTCCCAAAATGAATCGCCGTTCATGTAAGCCGTAAGTATGGGCACAGGTCACCCAAGCGTCATGAATTTACATGAAATCCCATTTGGGGAGACACTGGGCGCGATCCATTCAACCAAAATTCCAACCGGTCCGACCGGGAAAAGTGGTCCACCTCAAAAGGTGGACCCTTTTTTTCGAAACTTTTCCGGTTGGACCAAACCGATCCATTGAGTTTTGGACTGAAATTTCCGGAAATTTTGGTTGAATGGATCACGCCCAATAATGTTCTTGTAAGCAATATCATTATCGTTATCAGTATCAATCAGATACTGTCACCAGCCTATACCAACTTGGTTGCCACTGAGGAAAGTGGCTCCAACAAACACTTATAACGCCATGAACTTGTAACAGTACAAGTCCATGAATTCGCTAAATGAACCCCCACCGTTGATTTGCTAGCCTGCGAGAGCATCCGGTTTTTTGGCTTTAGGCGACGACCGAAAATACATCTACAGGTTTGCAGGCTATCGACTTGCGTGACATTCCTTGCATTTGACAAACATATGACGCAAATGTGACACAGGTATTTCCATGGTAACTCCTTATATGGAAAAATCTATCGTTTCTGACTACAGTGAAACCTGTATTAAGCGTACACCCTCAGGGAATGCTTTAGTGTCCACTTAATACAGGTTTCGATATATAACATCATATGAGGTGTCAAATGCCATTCAAATGAACAGCGGAAGCGTTTATAATACTTCCAGAGACTATGACGATACGCTTTTGCAGTATTTTCATTATCAAAGTGAACCAATGGATCATAGTACCATAAACATGGCTTGCAGCTCAAATTTGAAGAAATCAGATGAGTGAAACAAGTGCTATACAAACAAAACGAAATAGAAAACAATCCTGTACAGTGAAACTAATCAAATAAGTTCGTCAAGTCACTTTTTTAATGTAAAAATCAAAAAAATTTGTGGGTGGTAATTTGAGGCAATCGTTCGCATTTGCAGTGTCTGGCGTGTTGGGTGGTGGAACTTAATAAATAAATTGTCCGTTAAAGTGTCCGTTTAATACAGGACCATTTCAGGTACTTTTTAGGTGTCTGCGTCCGCTTAATAGAGGTGTCCGCTTAAAAAAAGTTTCATTTAAAGTAAATAAGGGAAATAAATTTGAGGACTTCGCTATTGTCTGCTTAACAGAGGGTGTCCGCTCAATACCGTGTCCGCTTTATACGGGTTTCACTGTATATATTATAGCCAAAAATTACATAACAAAAATATGCAGGTATTCAGGTCGCAAAGGGTTAAATAATAGGAATGTAATTTCATTACAATTATTTAACCTTATTCTTTTATGGAAAGGAAACACTGTCAATACTTGAGATTAGTAATGGTAACAGGACTGAGTGGAGTCCAATTCGGTCTGTAATCATACGAGTGATAAAAAAAATTGGTATGCGGTCGTCCAATTTGTTTAATCACGAGTATGATTACAGACCAAATTGGACGACACGAAGTTCTGTTACCAATTAATCATAACTTTAACAAAATTTGTGATATAATTGGCTGTTTTTTAAATCAAAACACAAGAAATTCGAAATTTTGTTTTGCTAGCAGTGAAAAAAAAGGACATTTATTTTAAGCGCGGGCGTGATGGCGCGTACTGTCCAATTACTTAGGCATGACGCGTACTATCCTATCAAACTGTCCAATTAAGGCTGAAATCAGGGCAGTTGATAGCCAATCAGATTTGAGAATTTTTTTATAGTTATGATTAAATAGGTAACATAACACTTCGAGGTTCTTTAGAGTGGACAGCAGTTGCCGCCATATCAAATAGGAGCAAAAAGGCACAGTTGGTTAGTGCATGGCCTTTGGTCCAGGAGGTCGACTTCTCTCCTTTCTTAAAACGGAGTATTGATGGAGAGAGCGGGTAAAATGAGCTCACCATTGATGTAAAGTTTATCAGTTGAATAATGGTCATGAGTTGTTGTAAAATATAGTTGCTTTACAATTTTTAAAGGAATTCTAGTTCACATAATACTCAATATAGTAGTTTCATGCTTTTTACACCAGAGCATAGGCGCACAGGTCAATCACCTCCAAGCTTGTGAATCAGGGCTATATGCTAATAACTAATGACCTAACATCTCAAGGACTATCACTAAGTTCATTTGATTGAATATTGACTACTATCAGGCAAAGCCTTAAGTAACTTGTATGAGTTCTACCAAGGTAAGATCTCTCCACTGAAGCTTAAGAATCCACCATTTTTGGACTCATCTAAAGATGCAATCACTGACAGCAGACCTTGAACTGACTGCTCGGTAGTTACCGCTGCGTTTGACCCACCCATATCTGTCTGCACCCAGCCTGGATGTAACGAAACTGTCATGATTCCATCCTTTTCAAGGTCAATGCTCAGTGACTTAGTGACCATGTTAAGTGCTGCTTTGCTTGTTCTGTATGGATATAATCCTCCTTTGGTGTTTGCTATGGAACCCAATGAGGACGACATATTTGCAACTAAGGCCTTGGTGGAACCCTGATCGTTGCTTTGAGAAGCCGCACGGCGAAGAAGAGGAAGCAAACCCTTTGTCAACATCAGAGGAGCGACCACGTTTGCGTTGAAAACGTCGATCATGCCTTCAGCTGCGACATCATTTAACTTTGCACTATCCATGACTCCAGCATTGTTAATAACAAGATTCAATCCCTGGCCTTCAAGGTTCTTCTCTACCTCTGATACTACATGGCCAATGGCTTGGAAATCAGTTACATCAAATTCAATCAAGTGAAGATTCGAATTCGACGCTGCAAGATTTTTCAATTCAGAGGCTATTTCTATGGAGCGGCAAGTTGCAAAGATATTTCTTGGAGGAGTGCTGAGGTTTAGGATTTGCTTGACGAGTTCTAATCCGATCCCTCGATTGCAGCCCGTGATAAAAATGGACTTGAATGGCCATGAGGACAGGGACGCTCCAAGAGCCGCCATGTTAATCTTTGATGTTATGCCACAGGTAGCCCAAGCTCGAACATTGGCATTGTTGCATAACATTCGAAATATAAGGATTTGTATGGGGAAAAAACCTAATGTTTCTGTAACCTACGAAAATGAAAGGATTTCAATAACAAACAGCTTCCCTTACACAAAATGTGTGTTGCATCTCCTGTGTGGTCCATGGGCTGATTTATGGGTTTCCCATCACTGATCGTGGCTTTAAAAGTGGCCCTCATGGTCAGACTGATGACAATATATTTGCAGTGGTAGTTGAAAGAAACTCCTCGCATTGACTGGCGAGATCCCAAAGAGAGTTCACAGGGTCACCATGATCCATGCTTGAGCAGTTGTGAAGCTACCTAGTCCAGGTACTAAAAGCGAAAGCCTTCATGAAGCCACTAGTAAAGTTTTAATAAAAAGGTTTTAGTCAAGTCTAAAAGTCTTCAGCATCTATGTTAGCTAACAAAATTACTGTAAATGCATAGAATGTTTGGTTAGCTTTGGGCCTCCATAGCTCTGCTTAGGAAATTATGACAAACAATCAAAGATATGTAAAATTGTTTTTGTGTACCTATTTAGATCATTCATATGTAAGAGTTAAGAATGAAAATCTCCTTGTGGGTGTCATTTCTAATTTTATAAATAACTGCATATAAGTTTTGTTTGGAAGGGTTTGTATGAAGTCTAAAAGTTTGTCTCTTTGTCATTAATAATAATAATAATAATAATAATAATAATAATAGTAATAATGCCTTTATTCATCACATACAATAGATATCAAAATTAATGATACATTTAACTTAACTGTGGAGATTAATAAAGGCACTTACGGTAAGAATAATTGTATCTGAAACTAAGCCTATTAAAAAAACTACTATTAAAATGTTCAGTGTTTATCTTAGGTAACTGACTATTACCTCGTCTTAAGCTAAGGGAGAATGCTTTGTCTTGGGGCAACATAGGGTACAGAGTTGACAACTGTTGCTACTAATTTTCTTTAAGATTTTCCTATCACATTTTTCCAAGAGCTCGTGGATATTGTAAAGTTTTGAGGAACATACGCTATCAACAGGGAGACCAGACACTATTTTAAGAAGAACGATGGCTTAAAAAGATGATTGATTTCATCTTGGCTATCCCACTTTCGTAAGTTCTCTTATTCTGTAAAGACTTTTGTTTGCTTCATTTAGTTTAGTTTTAACAACATGCTTAACAAATAGACAGTTAGACTGGAAGGTAACACCAAGTAAGGTCAAGTTTTCACACTGTGCAATATTGTAAATTAAGCAGGATAATTAGTAGCATTGTTCTCCTTTCGAAAAATTATTTCTTTACACTTGGACTGTACTGTTGCATTTCATATCATTCAAGTGAGTCCAGTTTAAGAACTGTGATAGAGCACTGATTGTCACAGTCCAACTGCTTACTTTTGCTGCATGAAAGTATCAAGAGCACTGGAGTCTACTCATGCTTTTCGATGGTACTAGTACATGTGACAATGTACAAAAAAAATGGCGAAATTTTCACGTAGCCCAAGAAGATTAAGATAACCATGGCTGCATGAAATGGTTTAGAGAAGATTATAATAACACCACATTGGAACCTCCATATAACGAACCTTGATATAATGAACGATTTTCTTTACCCCAGTACAAATAGTAAAGTGATATATGAAAAAGAACCTTGATATGAGGAAATCTCGTCATAGTGAACAAATTTTGCAAGTCCCTTGGCCTTTTGTAAAAGTGAGGTTCCACTGTAGCATGCATGATGCAGACCTTCCAACCCCCATCACATGCAAATCTGGAGGTTTTGAAAAAAAGTCCAGAAAAACCTGGAGATTGGGACCTCAAACCAGGAGATTTCCAAAATATGCATCAAATTAAAAACAACAACAACAGATTATTTGTTTGAGTGTTTTTTTTTACCTTTCTAGTGCCCTCTGTTATATGCTTTGGCTGCTTTTTTTGCTTTTGAGTTCTGGACAACAAGTAGCCATTTTGAAATTTGTGCACATGTTCAAAGGCTAAGCTTTCCCAGAGACCTTAGCGCAACGATGTTTCACTGGAACTGACATTGTACCCAGGTTTACTCACAAATAAGTTTGATTAATTCAGCTGTTATGAACACAGATTATTCGATATTCCTTCATACTTTGTGGAATTTTTTGGCAATTTCAAGGTTTTCTGGTTCACCGTAAGATTTAGAGGCAAAACCGTAAGACAGTGAGATGGCATCCCAAACCGTGAGTCTCACAGTCAAACCGTGAGAGTTGGAAGGTCTGCATGATGTGTGCATTAGAGAATCAAAGAGGTCGTTTCCTTTACTACTAACAATATCACATCTCAAGCAAAACATATGAGTTCTACCAAGGTAAGAGCTGTCCCCTGAAATCAAGGAATCCACCATTTTTGGTCTCATCCAATGATGCAATCACCGACACCAGACCTTGAACTGATTGCTCCACAGTTAATGTCGCATTTGGCCCACCCATGTCTGTCTGCACCCAGCCTGGATGCAAGGAAACGGCCATGATTCCATCCTTTTCAAGGTCAATGCTCAGTGATTTAGTGATCATGTTGAGTGCTGCTTTGCTTGGTCTGTAAGGATACAAACTACCCCTGGTGTTGTTTGTTATGGAACCAGCCCCTGAAGACATATTCGCAACAAATGTCTTTGTAGAATTTTGATGGCCACTTTGAGAAGCCGCACGGCGAAGTAGAGGAAGCAGACCCTTTGTCAATATCAGAGGAGCAACAACGTTTGTGTTGTAAACGTCGATCATGCTTTGCGCTGTGACTGCATCTAAATTTGCTTTGTCCGCGACAGCAGCATTATTAATTAGAAGATTCAAACCATGGCCTTCGAGCTTCTTTTCTACTTCTGATACTACATGGCCAATGGCTTGGAAATTAGTCACATCAAATTCGATCAAATGAAGATTCGTATGTGTTGCTTCCAGCTTTTTCAATTCAGAAGCTTTTTCCAGAGATCGACAAGTCGCAAAGATATTGTTCGGAGGAGCGCGTAGGTTAAGGATTTGCTTAACTAGTTCTAAACCGATCCCTCGGTTGCAGCCCGTGATAAAAATGGACTTGAAAGGCCAAGACGTCTGCGAAGATTTCACGGCCGCCATGTTTTACTGAGTGGCCTGCTAATCTCAGCAGTGAGGGGTGAGTCATGACCGATTATCTAATAAAAAATAGAAAAAAGAAAAAAAGAAACACAGAGAAACACAGGAGACAAAAAATATCCGTTAATTCACAAATGCATGTTCCCCGTAGAATAGAATTATCCGAACTACCCAGTTAGATGTACCTAATTTGTGGTTATAACATCCTCAACTTACCCCTCCCCTATAGTCAACTTTAATTTGCACCTCACGGACACACTAGTTTGCAAAGGGTTTCGGGATTGTCAAAATGGCGGCGCATGCAGTAGCAAGGAGCTATGGAAATCTCTCTTTGAATGACATTTTTGGAGAAAGAAAGAAGGCTTCGTTCGATGATCATCTTGCTAAAGATATTTCAGCAAACTTTTGGAACGAGGGTCGATTTGCTGTTCCTCCCGGGACAGACGTAAGTTGTATTCAAAGAAATGTTAAAATTGCTTAGTCACTGCGAAATGATGAGTTGTTGTTAAGATTTTATTTTCCTCCAAAAGGATTACCTTTTTTCTTTCTAATCCTTTTAATACTGTGGGCCGTTCGCTGTAGTAAAGGAAAAACTTCAGGAATGGAAAGTCAGACAAAGTTATTTAAAATTTTCCACGTGTTTGTGAACAAACGTGTATGTCAAACAGGCTGTAATAAATCGATGACCTGTTCCCAGCCCATGTTTTCTATGAAAATTTTAAGTTTTCCAGTCTTCCAAGAGCAATAGTTAGGCACCACTGGCCACTAGGCACCGGGCACTGTTAGAGCACAGCTTTGTTGATCATCAAAATGTAGACAATAAGTCAATGTTACTCGATATTTGTTGATACTTGTGAATCAACAGGGTTAGAAATTCGTTTTTTTGTCACAAGATAAAGATATCTTGTAGAGATGACATCTACAAGCTAAATGGGCAAGCCACAAGATTTTAGGTTAAAGCAGAAAAAATGCACTATGAAAGTAACTGATTTATTGTTATAGTTACAACAAAAGTTTACATAGCAGAACCAGGCATAACATTATAATATCCATGTATGAATTCTAGTTTTGATTCATATGATGTTAGTCTCCATGATAAAGACATTTAGTGAGGACCATGGGACTGGATGTGAGGGCGTCGAGCTAGCTCCCCTCCAATATACCACCTATGAACTGTAACCCTTGGGTCAAAGTCAGCAGATTGACTATACTTACTGTAGATGATCTATCCGTTCTATCCGTTCTGATCTATTCTTTACAAACCTCACACCAAATCTTGTTAACAACTCTGTCGTCATTGTGCTCTTTCCCCAACTCGATTTCAAGCTCCTTCTCCCACTTCCGAACCGTTTTTAACAAAGCTGTTTGCGGAACACCTGAGGCTTTTGTCTTTTTAGGCATTGGCTCGCTATTTTCTCCATTATTACTGCTTGTAACAGCACCAAAAAACTTTGTAATGTCTGACATTTTTCACCATTTTTGTGATTTCCTGCGAATTACACAAAAGCAAGGAACGCCTGGGGATTCTAAAAGCTAGTACGTTCCTACAGTCAATATTAATTTTGATGTAAACAACATGGCGGCCAGCCGAACGCATTTTCTACTCTTTGCTGCAGTTTGCTGCCTTTTTAAAAGCCCATTTACCAACAGAGATTAGGTTGAGACATTTTGTTATTTTGAAATTAATTTTTCTACACAATACACGAGGCAGTTGGCTAGAAAATGCAAGTGATTTTTGTCCACACTCGATAATCGCAAATTTGGCTCGCATTTAGTGAGTTAGCTTGTGGGAATTTCAAACCCTGATCAACAAGGTTAATTTGTGGAAAAAAGTTGATTAACCCAAAATTTTCAATTGATTATCAAAATCATCGACAGAAATTGAGTCCAATCAAACTTGTGTTCCATGAGCTGTTTTGTTTTTTCAGAATCAATCAATATCAATAATCACAAGAAATGATTGACTTCTATCTACCGTAAATCCTCTATTAAGCCCACCTTCTCAAATATGCCCCCTCCCTCTAATAAGCCCCCTCTTTTCAGGGGAAGAAAGTTAATAACCCTCCTCTCTATTAAGACCCCCCCCTGCACCCCTAATTATTCTTCACTAATAAAATAATGATAGACTGTATTAATCAATCACGACTCTAAAACTTTGTGTGGACTGATCCAGGATGGTTTATTTACCAACTGGAAGTTTCGATTTGATTCCGATCCTCAGCTGCATGATCTAAAACTTCGTGTACTTGAGCTTTTTCACTTTGTATTCTAGTTCTTTATAGAGAACTGATACAATTGTCATTTTTAAATTAAATACGCCTCCCCTAATCTCAAATAAGCCCTTTGTCTCTATTAAGCCCTCCCCTCAAATGGGCTTGAAATAAATAAGCCCCCCAGGGGGCTTATATGAGGATTTACAGTATTTCTAATATTTTTCAGTTGATCTGTATTGAATTCGCTTGACCATGATTGATTTTTATTGTCCTTCATGATTATTGACATGTCATGCCCTGCATCAAAGTATTGGTATTTGTTGTGTTATTAAACATTTTTAAGAAAAGGGGTAAAACTTCCACAAAACCACATACCGTTTTACAACAGAGCCTCCTATTGTCATCTTGGGTGAAGGGGAGAGAAGGGAAGAGAAGGAGGCTATGTCTGAATGGCATAAAGCCTTTGAGGTCGCCTCAGCCCAAACTTCTGGACCAGGAAATCTAAGTTGTTTTCTCTCACTAAACTGTTTTTTCTGGGTGCCCGTCAGGCAAGTTAAGAACAGAATTCACTTCCCAATGGCAAAATCCACTATCCCAGGCTATCAGACATCACTATCTTTGCACGTCGTGTAACTACTTTATAACCAACATAATTAAAAACTGAATCATTGGATAATGCAATTCTAGCATTTTGATTGGCTTAGCCATTATGGTATATGAGCTATTATACCATGCTCTCCATATATGGTCGGTGTACGGGTCAGTTAAAATTGGAAGCTAGCTGAGATTTTTTTTCGCGAAGGATAGAACGGCGCCCGAAGCAAATTGTTTTAAGTCATTTCTTAGAATACTAGAAATGAGTTTCATCGAAAGAAAAAAGACAAAAACAAACAAAAAAGCCACAAGAGCTTGTTTGAAAGTTTGTCGAAAAAGACATGAAAACACATGGAACTAAAGTACCTTGACCAGCTACGAAAGAAGACAAGTGTTGTTTCTTCATGATCGCGAAGCCATTCGCTAATCGAGTCACTCGCCAATAGATAACTGCGGCTTGTTTATCCGACATCAAGAATATAAATCACAAGTAACCAGCCACAAATACAGGCTATGCAGCCATTCATTAGAGCAATCCAGGTGGCAGTATAGCTTCTTTTCTCGTTCAGCAAAACCAGCTTGTGGCTCCAAACAACTTCATAACAAGTGACCGAGGTAATAGTTTTTCTCCGTTGTTCTTACTTTTATAACTGCACCGAAAATCCAAATTCACAGTAATTTCGACGGCCGTCACTTAAAAATTCTTTTCCTTCACATTATCCTCCAGGCTTTTTTAGTTGTTCTGCTGTGTAAAATCCTAGAGTCCCGATGAGTTTTTAAAAAACTAATGTTCATCGCTACAATGTTTTGATTTTTCATTCATGCAGTCCAGGCGAGTCCGTTGGCGCGTTGACAGTTTTGATAGAGGTGTGACATGTGAATAGCGGAAGTCCCTTGTCTTTTCCGGTTTGTTCTAGTGGGGGAGATTCAACAAGATTTTGTGGGCGTTTTTAGTAAAACAATTATTCCACTCGCGCTTGTTGGATATGAGATGATTATAGCCAACTCGGCGCTGCGTGTCTCGTTGGCTATCTATCATCTCATATCCAACGTGCCCTCGTGGAATAATTGTTAAGTAGACTTATTTCAACATTATCTTTCAGCCTGTAGAGTTTTTGAGACCTTTTGCTAATGGTGATGGTGATGTCAAAATCCATTTTGACCATGGGACAACTACCCTGGCTTTCAAATTTCAACATGGTGTGATTGTGGCAGTTGATTCAAGAGCAACAGCAGGATCCTATATTGGTAGGTCTATTTTTCTACAGATTAGTCAGTTATCTGCTTGTATATTACTAACTTATCTATAGGTTGTGCAGATGTCCAAAATGAAATGTGGCTAAATGTGTGGAAGGTAGAGTATTAATGTGTAAATTTTACACATACATGTATTAACTTTTCTTTTATGCAGCATCACAGACAGTGAAGAAGGTAATTGAAATCAATCCATATCTCCTTGGAACTATGGCTGGTGGAGCTGCTGACTGTTCCTTCTGGGAAAGACTGCTGGCCAAACAGTGCAGGTTAGTGTAGGTTTCAACTTTCTTTCAGGGATTGGAAATTATACTCACAATATTGAAATAATTTCACTATTATTGTAAATGTGGGCAAATCTACAGGCATGTCCTTGGCCACTGAACAGATTTATTACTTTTGCTCTCATGAAAGGTCTTGTGATAAAATGTGAAAATTTCAAACGTTAATTTGTAAAATCCTTGGAAAAATGAAATTAATGCTCATAGTTTCCATAGTTAATACATAGTTTGAACGGAAGGGAAATATATTTTGAACCAAGGTTACAGTTGAAGAATCGTGGAAGCTTTGCTAAGGAGTATCCTGTGGCCTCAGATGTGATGGACATGAATCCAATAGCTTCCTTTTTATCTTTATGAACTAAATTGACTGGGTTTTTTTTCTTGAAAAGGTGTGCTTGAAGAGAGGGGAACTTGTTCTTGATTACAATACTAGCATTTTGTTTGTTTGTTTTAGAATTTATGAGCTGCGAAACAAGGAGAGAATATCAGTGGCAGCTGCTTCAAAACTCCTTGCAAACATGGTGTACAACTACAAAGGCATGGGGCTGTCTATGGTAAGAGCTCTCCCTGGCTTACAAATTTCTCTGACTTTTTGCTATCTGACATTGACGTCGATTGACACCTCTCCACAAATGTCAGTGTTCATATTGTTGGACAACTTCATACTACCTAAATGAAGTACCTAACAGACTTGGTTCAATCAGCTTATTAGGGAATTGCTGCTTTCAGAGGCTATACTATTAGCTTAGTTTCCTCCATTACATTAGTACTTCTGTTTCTGACTTAGAGCAGTTTAATTGAAATGATTTCCTTTTTTTCAGGGAACTATGATATGTGGCTGGGATAAAAGAGTGAGTAACTGTTTGTACTGGTAAATTCATCTTGAAGTTCCAAAGTTTTCATCCCTTGACTCTTGGTTCTAATATTGTTCTTTTCTGTTAAATTTGGGTCTGGAAATCTATAATGAGATTGAAAAAAGTGACACAAAATTTGAACCAGAGATAAAACTGAACCACACGTTTTACACTAATGTTTGGATCTTTAAGGGTCCAGGGCTGTACTATGTGGACAGTGATGGCACACGCTTGTCAAATGATATGTTTTCTGTTGGTTCTGGTTCAACCTATGCTTATGGTGTGATGGACAGTGGCTACAAGTATGACTTGTCTGTTGAAGAAGCTTATGAATTGGGTAAGAGATCCATCTACCATGCCACTCACAGGGATGCCTACAGTGGAGGAGTTGTCAACTGTAAGTATGACGTGAAAATGTACTAACAAGTAGAGGCAAGGCTCAGATGTAAAATGAGTTGCCCTACTCCTCCCAACACTCATGTTACAGGAACAAATTCTTTCAATATTTGGAGCAAATAGCATGGTTGTCAGAAAGTTTTGAAGTAGGTGGCTGAGTTGTCAAAGTAAGTGGCCAGTCCACGGAAATTTTATTTACAAAATGCCATTTGTAAAGAAATGCCAAGCAGAGTAGCCGGTTGATACGAACCAAGTAGGTGGTGATTTTCGCCGGCAGCCAGCTACTTTTGATAACCCTGCCAATAGGCATTATCAACTGGCAGGTTGCTCATAGTATGACCTGTATAAAGCACTCATTTTATGACACATTTTAGGCAATTTTTTTTTTCCTTTGCTTGAGCCCCGAAAAGGTTGTACATCCAACTTCTGCTGGGGATAGCTTCTCTCCAACGGCTACCATTGAGTATAATTTTCTGGCTCTTTGCAGATAGGGGCCAAGCCCCGGGTAAGTAAAATGTATGGAACAGGATCCCTTGGCACCCACAGTTATATCGGGGTTCCACTGTCTTTTTTTCTTCTAGTAAATGGCCTAAGCCCGCCTTGGTGACGATGAGTTCCTCCCTCATGGATTTGAATTCCATCAAGGGCTTAGACTTTTTTTCGTTGTTCCACGCCCATAGCAAGACAAAGATAACATGTTGCTCAAGCATTTTACTGTTTTTTATTACAGTGTATCACATGAGGCAAGATGGCTGGATAAAAGTTTCTCAAACGGATGTCGCTAAGCTGCATTACCAGTACCAAGAAGAGAAGCAAAACTTATAGACTGAAAATCTGAACGTTTGCCCGAATAAGATATGTGCTGTAGAAAGGTTCAATAAAATTTTTGTGTTGCATGATTTTGTCATATTCACTCAGTCTATACTAAGGTGCTAGTTGTCGAAGCGTGTCTGTTTACTGTCACCATCCGCCTTTTATAATTTTATCCTTTGACGATTATTATTCCACTTTATTTTATTTTCGAATGTGGTGAAACCAACCTTTGGAATATATTCGCAGAACACTAGCAAACTCAAACCAATCTTAACATTAACCGTAAAAAAGAAATGAAATAAAACCTTATGACGGACAGCTTTAGTTCTGGAATGTTGATTTGTAGATCCAGATGTAAGCTTCAGACACGCGTTTATCTTTGTAACCTTAATGCTGAGACAGTAGGGATTGTGACTCAATTGGTAGCCTGCTTAGCGGGCGGAATTGTTTTTGCGCGAGAGTTTCGATGGCGAAGCCGTCATACAAAGCCGCGAGAAGCGAGCGCCGAAGGGGCGAGAAAATTCGTCTCCTCCCCATTCTCTGCACGACTTCGCAGCTCCTCTGCCAACACTTTCCTCGCGCGGAAGATCCCGCCGGCTCCGCAGGCTATTCAATTGGGGTCAAGCGTTTGTGTTTTGTTGTGCATTGCATGACTCTCATGCTCAGGGAAAGGTACTGGAGGCGCTAAGCCAGACTGTAACTGGTCTAGTCTTATGACGTTCATCAGTATTCCCTTTGGATTAACAAACCTCCCCTCTTCATTTTAGGGACTGGAATGGTATTTAATAGTCTCTTACACTTGCCCAGACTGTCATAGTATTTGTAGCATCTTAGCCTGTGTGTAGCAAAAGTTTCCGCACAAAAATTACGCGACAGTGGAAATCCACCCTAAGCTACTTTGTTGTAGTTTTCGATAAAAAAAATATGTTACCTGTCACTTACATTATTGTGCGATCCCGCACCTACTTGAAAGATTGTTTGTGATTAAAAAATATGCAGATTAAAGTTTCAAATGAGGTTTAGAACATTACTTGTTATTGGCGATCCCAGTCAATTCCTGCGCTTGAACCCTGGGCATTAGCATTTTTTTTGCCTGATTAGCTGGGAAAACAATGGGGTGGGGACGAAAAAAGGAAATGCCCCGATTAAATGGGCAACATTTTTCATTGACCGCACAGTCGAATAGTGCCATTTTAAGCATTTTAATGGTTTTTGTTTCATAACGGTTCCTTTGTAATAGCAGGTTTAACTAAGACATTGTTGGACGACATGCACCAGTTTTTGACAAGATGTTAACCTACAAACAAACCGAACGGGCGTATTTTAGTTTTAGAATCAAATAATATGGTTTGATTCAATGACCAAAAACGTTGATTCACATCAATAAATTTCGCGTTTTTGCCTTGATTTCGCATGAAAATCGATCCCTTTACAAAATGGATAGATGAGCCAATCTGCTTTTTTTTCAGTAAAACCTTCTGTGGCTATTCTTATAGGAAACAGCGTCTCTCTCTCCCAGTACCCCTGGGGGTGGCGGGCGCCCCCAATGTTAAGGGGCGTTTTCTTTATCGTCGGCAAAGCGTGTCTTTTAAATTTCCCTTGAGCAATAACTCGATCGGAAACGCTTTCTACACAGGCTAGTAGCATCTTAACAAACGCTTTCAAAAAGCTTGGAATTCCGAATTCTGAAGAAATCAAAAGAAAAGAAAAGGGGCAAGAAAATAAGTAATGTGCAAAACAGCATGTGTTATAATAAATTTATTTTAACCTGGTTAAGGCCTGCACAAATAAACAATTAAAAAAGGTACAAAAATACTATGTACCGTCATATAATATACAAAATTTAAATGCTAACTATTAGCTTAGGAATACAAAAATACATTTCATTTCTATCCATTAACACGATCATCATGGACTTCCATACAGTGTAAAACATTGAACTTGTAACAGGTTTTGAAGTGTAACCAGAAAGACAAAATAAAATAATACAATGCATACACAAGTTTTTTAACAAATGTGGACGTTCTCTGTGACGAGTAAATGTTAATTAAAGTTTCTTTTTTACAAAAAAAAAAACAGTTTTATGTGAATCATTTTTACTTTATGTTTCACAATAAAGCGACTGGATATAGATCTGCGTATGAAAAATAATATAACTATATGTAAATCATTTATTGTTCAGGGGACCATCGCGAACCCATTTTCTTGTGGTCACCTGGGATTGCTGTCTAATTTTCCTGTCTTTATCGTTCAACTAAGCATCTAAGTATTCAACATAATATTCTGATCAGGGAGAAGTGGCTGGTTATCTGAGTTAACTGGCGTTCAGAGCAAACACATCGCTCGGTCGTTCAGCTAGTCGAATGTCATGGGTCTGATTCGACTGAAATTTCGAGTCTGGAAAAAAAGGTACATGCAGACTTGTTAGTTAAGAGCACCATGAACGATTTGCGAAGGAAGTAAAAGTACACCGTCTATATAGACCAATCTTTGTTTAGATTTTTTGCCCCGTTAACATTCTCATCAGGCTATGATCAAGCTATGAAATCAAGATAACATCTTTAGTGGCATTATATTGACAGCGCATACATATAGCAATAAGTAGTAATCGCAGAAATGTGAGCCCTATATACCCAAAAGTTGCGGATAAATTCTCTTTCAATCAACTAGAATGTTACAAATAACATACGGCTAATTAAAGTTTTTGCCACGTATCAATTACAGTTTTTGATGGTGGGTATTTACCCTGATACTGCATGCAAAGAGCTGAAAATTGCACAAATTGCTCATGTTAATTAGCTCTTACAACGTTGAGCTGTCCTTGTATATATGCCGAGGCCTTCTTTTCTTCTTCTATTCATATTTCATGGCAATCAAGTATTTTTGTTGATAACGGGGTCTTACAAGACTGTAACCCTCGGTTCCACTTATTACTTGTTACCATGAAAGAATAATAAGACAGAGGAGGCAGACGCTCAGTCTAGCCCTTGGGATATGTGAATTTCACCAAAGTTATTGTTAGACCAAGTAAACGCTTGAATTAATCGGAAGTTGGTTTCCGGAGAGGTCCATCAACTTTTATTCCGTGTTGTCAACAGATAATTCAACAGTTGCCATTACAAATATTTTCAATTTTTTCCTTAACCTGAGATCAGGCTCTATTTTCGTTTCGCGCTTTGTAAATAACATTCCGGCGGGCGTGGCGAAACGAAAAGAGCCAATTTCAGCGCTAGCCGTTAGAGAGAATGTATGAGAACCGCTCAAATTGGGCCTGATCTCAGGTTATTTTTCGCTTTGAGGACTTGATTAAAATGTGCGGACGTCTCAGAAATTAGACTTCCGTTAATTACAACCTCTAAAAATAACTGAAGTGAAATCCACATATCGCGGCCAACGCCCTAAGATTCCCTCTCTGTCCCATTGTTGTTACTCTCTTGTTGTTACATTGTTAGGTTACTTACCCTAGGATTCATAACAGCATGTATGTCAGACATTTTTACAAGTTTTCCATGCTTGGGAGGACACTGGAAATACTGTTTGCCACCTAGACGCCCATCAGTGTTACCAACTAAACAAACAAACAAAGCCATTAATAAGCTTAAGATAAATAAATAAGATTCCACTTGTTTGTAGCCTGCCTAGCCTGCGTAGCGGGCGGGCGCTTGGAAGTAGTGGGCATAGCAGGCCCTTGGAAGTGGTGGGCACAAGAAAAAACGGGCGCGCGAGAAGGAGACACGCGTGTCTCCCTCGCGCGCCCGTTCTCTCTTTCGCCCACTACTAGGGAGCTTTAGCATTTACGACGGAAACTGCAGCGAAAACGTCAGTTTTAAAATGAATTCCCGTTTTTCAATCTTTGTTGCGTTTATTCCAATTTGCTGAAAATGGCAAGTGTAGGCGAATTTCCCTGGAGTTGATTTCTTCAGGACCGCACTCAAGTTTAGAGAGAGAATAAGAGATTCGTCGTCGCTTGTTTACGTCCTCCATAAAACTTGCAATTAGGCATTTTCATGTCGTAGTCGTGCAAGGACGGCAAAGAAATGTACAAAAAACGTGATGCACGTGCAAAGTTGTTGTTTTGCGTAATAAACCTCTTGCTTTTTTGACGTCCTCTTTGCCGTCGCCATTGTCGTTGCTAAAGCTCCCTACTTCCAAGCGTCTGCTACGCAGGCTAACTTGATTGCGACAAGAGAAACAGAATACAACGTACTTTCGTGTATATTTTGACTATGCTCACCATACCGCACAGCTTTCGTGCCATACACATGGAAAACCATACGGGGTGGGCCTTTAGTTCACCGTTGAATGCTATTTCGGCATGATTTTATGCGTAAGTTTCCAGGCGAAGTGACGTTCATAAGAGTGCCAAACTTGGTACCGTACCGGTTTTAAAGCGTTCATATCGTGCCTGTTGATATTATACCGTATCTACTGCGTACCGGGACATAAATTAATCCGGTGTAGTGTGAACGTGGCAAAAGAAAACAAAAAGATGAAGCTATAATGTTACCGATAACGATAACGCAAATGTTTAAGAACGGTTACGTTAAAAATCAAATCGAAACGTATATGGCACAATACTTTCTGTATGACATGGCGATGCTGTATATACAAGGTCTGCAGTGTTTTTGTTCTACACCACACCCACCAAGATTTTTTCAAATAAGCGTTTAAATACCAAAATCAAAATACAATCATACAATTGCTTTGAACAATTAGAGCAGACAAAGACAGTTAAGAGAACCAGTCAAAAACCGATGTATTTGGAAACAGCCTGCGCCACGCGCGATGAAACGTGTGACTTGTTTTAGACAACGTGGTCTACGTACAAAATTTTGATGTGAATCAATACCTGGCTGATCAAGTTTGAGGCCGACAAACATGCTGCCATTGTTTCTGCCACCGCCAAGCTTTCCAACGTACTTCACGAGTCCTGTTATGTTCATCTTTTCCTCACCTGTTAATAAAAGTTATGTTTACTTAGGATTCTTTTGTGATTAGAACTGGTAACTCTATTTAAGCCCTAAGAATGATAGCATCTCCTTGTAATATCAGTGCTTCATAAAACAGAGTGATCATGAGAACTGACTGCATGATCACAGACGATGAATTTAAATGATACTTCAAATACTTCTCCCCACAACTTCTATAGGAAACGAATAGGGACAACACATAAGATTTTAACTTGGATATTAGGGTTTAAGGGTTAAAAAACACGCAAGCTTCCAAGTTAGTCTTATACATTTAAGAATCAAATGTTAATCCAAATATACGGGTAACAAGGGGCAACAGGGGTAACAACAGGCAAAAGGGGGAACAAGGGGGAACAAGAGTAACAAAGGGGAACAAGGGTAACAAGGAGTAACAAGGGGTAACAACGGTAACAACGGAAAACAACAGGAAACAAGAGTAACAACGGGGAACAAGGGTAACAAAGGGTAACAAGGGGTAACAACGGTAAAAAGGGAAAACAAGGGGGAACAAAGGGTAACAATGGGGTAACAAGGGGTAAAAAAGGTAACAACAGGTACCAAAGGTAACAAGGGGTACCAAGGGTAACACGGAGTAACAAGGGTAACAACAGGTAACTAGGGTAACCAGGGGTAACAAGGGTAACAAGGGGTAAGAAAGGGTAACAAGAGGGTAACAAGGGGAAAAAGGGGTAACAAGGGTAACAAGGGTAACAACACCTAACAAGGGTAACAAGGGGTAAAAAGGGGTAACAAGAGTAACAAGGGGTAACAAGAATAACAGGAGGTAAAAAGGGGTAACAAGGGGAAACAAGGGTAACAAGGGAAAGAACAGGTACCAAAGGTAACAAGACGTAGCAAGGGCAACAAGGGGTAACAAGGGGTAACTAGGGCAACAAGGGGTAACAAGGGTAACAAGGGGTAACAAGCGGTAACAAGGCGTAACAAGAAGTAACAAGGGTAACAACACCTAACAAGGGTAAAAAGGGGTAACAGGGGGTAACAAGGGGTAACAAAGGTAACAAGGGTAACAAGGGGTAACAAGGGTAACAAGGGGTAACAAGGGCTAACAAGGGTAACAAGGGGTAACAAGGGTAACAAGGGGTAACAAGGGGTAACAAGGGTAACAACACCTAACAAGGGTAACAAGGGGTAACAAGGGTAACAAGGGTAACAAGGGTAACAAGGGGTAACAAGGGTAAAAGGGGTAACAAGGGTAACAAGGGGTAACAAGGGTAACAAGGGGTAACAAGGGGTAACAAGGGTAACAAGGGTAACAAGGGTAACAAGGGGTAACAAGGGTAACAAAGGTAACAAGGGGTAACAAGGGTAACAAGGGGTAACAAGGGTAACAAGGGGTAACAAGGGGTAACAAGGGGTAACAAGGGTAACAAGGGGTAACAAGGGTAACAAGGGGTAACAAGGGGTAACAAGGGTAACAAGGGTAACAAGGGTAACAAGGGTAACAAAGGGGTAACAAGGGGTAACAAGGGTAACAAGGGTAACAAAGGGGTAACAAGGGGAAACAAGGGGAAACAAGGGTAACAAGGGTAACAAGGGTAAAAAGGGTAAAAAGGGAAAAAGGGGTAACAAGGGGTAACAAGGGGAAAAAAAAAAAGGGTAACAAGGGGTAACAAGGGGTAACAAGGGGTAACAAGGGTAACAAGGGGTAACAAGGGGTAACAAGGTGGTAACAAGGGTAACAAGGGTAACAAGGGGTAACAAGGGGTAACAAGGGGTAACAAGGGTAACAAGGGTAACAAGGGTAACAAGGGTAACAAGGGGTAACAAGGGGTAACAAGGGTAACAAGGGGTAACAAGGGGTAACAAGGGTAACAAGGGTAACAAGGGGTAACAAGGGTAACAAGGGTAACAAGGGGTAACAAGGGCAACAAGGGTAACAAGGGGTAACAAGGGTAACAAGGGGTAACAAGGGTAACAAGGGTAACAAGGGTAACAAGGGGTAACAAGGGGTAACAAGGGTAACAAGGGTAAAAAAGGGGAACAAGGGGTAACAAGGGTAACAAGGGTAACAAGGGGGAAAAGGGGTAACAAGGGTAACAAGGGGTAACAAGGGTAACAAGGGGTAACAAGGGTAACAAGGGTAACAAGGGGTAACAAGGGTAACAAGGGTAACAAGGGTAACAAGGGGTAACAAGGGTAACAAGGGTAAAAAGGGGTAACAAGGGTAACAAGGGTAACAAGGGGTAACAAGGGTAACAAGGGTAACAAGGGGTAACAAGGGTAACAAGGGTAACAAGGGTAACAAGGGTAACAAGGGGTAAAAAGGGTAACAAGGGGTAACAAAGGGTAACAAGGGTAACAAGGGGTAACAAGGGGTAACAAGGGTAACAAGGGGTAACAAGGGGTAACAAGGGGTAAATAAGGGTAACAAGGGGTAAAAAGGGTAACAAGGGTAACAAGGGTAAACAAGGGTAACAAGGGTAACAAGGGTAACAAGGGTAACAAGGGGTAAGGGGTAACAAGGGTAACAAAGGGTAAAAAGGGTAACAAGGGGTAACAAGGGTAACAAGGGGTAACAAGGGTAACAAGGGTAACAAAGGGTAACAAGGGGTAACAAGGGGTAACAAGGGGTAACAAGGGTAACAAGGGTAACAAGGGGTAACAAGGGGTAACAAGGGGTAACAAGGGTAACAAGGGGTAACAAGGGTAACAAGGGGTAACAAGGGTAACAAGGGTAACAAGGGTAACAAGGGGTAACAAGGGGTAACAAGGGTAACAAGGGTAACAAGGGTAACAAGGGTAACAAGGGTAACAAGGGGTAACAAGGGTAACAAGGGTAACAAGGGGTAACAAGGGCAACAAGGGTAACAAGGGGTAACAAGGGTAACAAGGGGTAACAAAGGGTAACAAGGGGTAACAAGGGTAACAAGGGGTAACAAGGGTAACAAGGGTAACAAAGGGGTAACAAGGGTAACAAGGGTAACAAGGGTAACAAGGGTAAAAAGGGGTAACAAAGGGTAACAAGGGTAACAAGGGGTAACAAGGGTAAAAAGGGTAACAAGGGTAAAAAGGGTAACAAAGGGTAACAAGGGTAACAAGGGTAACAAAGGTAACAAGGGTAACAAGGGTAACAAGGGTAACAAGGGTAACAAGGGGTAACAAGGGGTAACAAGGGTAACAAGGGGTAACAAGGGTAACAAGGGGTAACAAGGGGTAACAAGGGGTAACAAGGGTAACAAGGGTAACAAGGGTAACAAGGGGTAACAAGGGGTAACAAGGGGTAACAAGGGTAACAAGGGTAACAAGGATAACAAGGGTAACAAGGGTAACAAAAGGGTAACAAGGGGGTAACAAAGGGTAACAAGGGTAACAAAAGGGGTAACAAGGGTAACAAGGGTAACAAGGGTAACAAAGGGGTAACAAGGGGGTAAGGGGTAACAAGGGTAACAAAGGGGTAACAAGGGTAACAAGGGGTAACAAGGGGTAACAAGGGTAACAAGGGTAACAAGGGGTAACAAAGGGTAACAAGGCAAATAAGGGTAACAAGGGGTAAATAAGGGTAACAAGGGTAACAAGGGTAACAAGGGGTAAACAAGGGCAAATAAGGGTAACAAAACAAAGGGTAACAAAGGGGTAACAAGGGTAACAAGGGGTAACAAGGGTAACAAGGGTAACAAGGGGTAACAAGGGTAACAAGGGGTAACAAGGGTAACAAGGGTAACAAGGGGTAACAAGGGTAACAAGGGTAACAAAGGGTAACAAGGGGTAACAAGGGTAACAAGGGTAACAAGGGTAACAAGGGGTAACAAGGGGTAACAAGGGGTAACAAGGGTAACAAGGGTAACAAGGGGTAACAAGAGGTAACAAGGGTAACAAGGGTAACAAGGGTAACAAGGGGTAACAAGGGGTAAAAAGGGGTAACAAGGGGTAACAAGGGGTAACAAGGGGTAACAAGGGGTAACAAGGGTAACAAGGGTAACAAGGGGTAACAAGGGGAAAAAGGGTAACACAAGGGTAACAAGGGGTAACAAGGGTAAAAAGGGTAACAAGGGGTAACAAGGGGAAAAAAGGGTAAAAAGGGGTAACAAGGGTAAAAAGGGGAAAAAGGGGTAACAAATGGTAACATGGGTAACAAAGGATAACAAGGGTAACACAAGGTAACAGATGGTAACAAGGGTAACAAGGACTAACAAGGGGAAACAAGGGTAACAAAACGTAACAAGAGTAACAAGGGATAACAACAGGTAACAAAAAATAACAAGGGTAACAAAGGGTAAAAAGGGAAACAAGGGGTAACAAAGGGAAACCAGAATAACAAGGGTAACAAGGGGCACCACAAGGTAACAACGGTAAAAAGGGGTATCAAGGGTAACAAGGGGTAACAAATGGTAAATAGGGTAACAAAGAATAACAAGGGTAACAATGAGTAACAGAGGGTAACAAGGGTAACAAGGGTAACAAGGGGTAACAAGGGGTAACAAGGGGTAACAAGGGTAACAAGGGGTAACAAGGGGTAACAAGGGGTAACAAGGGTAACAAGGGTAAAAAGGGGTAACAAGGGTAACAAGGGGTAAAAGGGGTAACAAGGGTAACAAGGGGTAAAAAGGGGTAACAAGGGTAACAAGGGTAACAAGGGTAACAAGGGTAACAAGGGGTAACAAGGGTAACAAGGGGTAACAAGGGGTAACAAAGGGGTAACGAGGGTAACAACGGGTAACAAGGGGTAACAAGGGGAATAAGGGTAACAAAGGGTAACAAGGGGAAACAAGGGTAACAAAGGGTAACAAGGGGTAACAAGGGGTAACAAGGGTAACAAGGGGTAACAAGGGGTAACAAGGGGTAACAATGGTAACAAGGGTAACAAGGGTAACAAGGGGTAACAAGGGTAACAAAGGGTAACAAGGGGTAACAAGGGTAACAAGGGTAACAAGGGTAACAAGGGGTAACAAGGGGTAACAAGGGGTAACAAGGGGTAACAAGGGGTAACGAGGGGTAACAAGGAATAACAAGGG